TATACACTATTTTCTATATTCTATATTCTATATTCTATATTCTATACACTATATTCTATATTCTATATTTTTTCTATACACTATATTCTATATTTTATATTCTATATTCTATACACTACATTCTATATTCTATATTCTATACACTATATTCTATACACTATATTCTATATTCTATAAACTATATTCAATAAACTATATTCTATATTCTATATTCTATATTCTATACACTATATTCTATATTTTATATTCTATATTCTATACACTACATTCTATATTCTATATTCTATATTCTATACACTATATTCTATATTCTATATTTTTTCTATACACTATATTCTATATTTTATATTCTATATTCTATACGCTACATTCTATATTCTATATTCTATACACTATATTCTATACACTATATTCTATATTCTATATTCTATATTCTTTATTCTATACACTATATTCTATGCGAACGGACTGCGATGCCTTGTCAAGTTCTAAGGTGTCACTATAAGAGCTGTGAGCAAGACTGTGTAAAGTGCAAGAGGAGGGGGCACGCTACGCGTCCCTCGACTCTAAGGGGGCACGCTACGCGTCCCTCATCTTTACCTTTCTATGTGACCGCCCACGCAACGTTTGGCTCAAGTCAATGCCCATAGCTAAGTGCTATATGTGTCTTCTATCCTGAGCAATCAGAGCTATCCCGTTGCACAGACGAACCGCCGCCGGCAGTGAGTGCAAAAGGAACGGCCGCCGGTTCTGCCTGCATAGGATTGCACGTGTGGAAGTGTAAGAGAGACAGGGTCCAGTCTGTGGAGAGTGCAAGCCAGCCACACCTACATTCATTACAGCTCTGGTGGGGAGAGCAGCAACCTAGTCGAGATCAATCCCCCACGCAGGTTATCAGCCGTACGCGGCTCTGCCTTTCTACAGCAACGACTACTTGATCTACTACGACCACAATGAACTCGGGATCAAGCCAAGATACGACAATGACTTTCGGTGCCGATGTGGCAGCGCCAGCCGTTGGTGAGTCAACAGCTGACGACACAGTGGTGCAATCCGTTGATAGCTCCACGGAAGATGACAAAGGTCAATCTTCTGCGCTTGCCATTGCAAAGGCAGTTCCCAAGGTGAAAGCAAAGAGTCTACCAAGAGCATCTACGCCTTCGCGTCCGACATCCACAGGTTCGAGGACGGGCAAGGCTCCCGAACGACGAGCCGAAGCGTCTGGTTTTCAGGCACCTCGGACTACGTCCAGGGCCAAGGACAAAGGAGTGAAGACCTTGGAAAAGAAGTCAAGACCATCATCTTCGAGAAGCTCTTCAGCACGATCGAGGACTTCGGCTACTCGTGGGCGTGACAAATCCATGACTTGGAATCGGATGGTTACCAATCAACCACGTGATGCTGACGATCTGGATATGACTCTGGACACTATCCCAGCACGTGGCGATGCGTCATCGGTGACCACGCCAGCCATAGCCGATGGTCCGAATGCCTATCAGGAACTGACGATTTCGCAACAGCTCGAAGCATCTAACCTTGCGCAGCAGATGTACTATCGCAGTCAGATGCAAGAATACGAAGGAGTTGTTCAGACCCTGATGGACAAGATCAAGGAGATGCAACAAGAAGATGAAGGATCTGGAATTCGCATTGAAGAATTGGAACGACAACGTGACCATGCATGCTTAGCCATGAGGCACATCAACAATGTCAATCAGGAGATGAAGCGAGACTATGAAACAGCTTTGTTTCGCATGGATGAACAGAACTCTGCTCAACAACGTCAAGCACATGCCGTTGCCGAGGAGTTAGCTCAACAGCTACACGTGTTCCGCACGGAGGCAGCCACTAACTTTGTGCAGTTGGAGGCAAGAGCGCAAGGCGATGGTGAGCTTATGGCACGTGAGTATGAGCGTCTGACTCATGAACTTCATGAACATGCCAGAGAGAACTTGGTCCTCCGGTCAAACACAGCAAGTTCGGAACAAGCCTTACAAGCAATGCAGGAACGATTCCACTTGGTCAAGAACCAGGAGTTGCGGGCTGTGAACGAGATCCAAGGGCTAGCTGGAAACAGCGCAGCCATTGATCAAGAACGATTTCGGCTTCGCGAACGTCTTGGCGAAGAAGAAGAGTACCGCAAAATGGCTGTGAAGAGGATGCAAGATGCAGAGGACCGACTTCATCAGAATGAAGATCATGCAAGGCGTGCATTGCCTACCTTGCACGACGAGCTGAGTGAACTCAGGGAAACGCTCAAAGCACAAGAAGATCTTCAAGCGAGGACACGCAGCGAATTGGAGGCAGCGCGAAACTCCAATTACGGAGGAGCGACACGGCCTTCAAGCATGCCCATGTCTTCGAGGACTACTGAGTCTGGCTGGGAGCACGTAGGAAAGGAAGTAGTGCCTGCATTTTCCGTAGGAGGGGAGGTACGATCCCCTGAAATACGGTCCCCAAGTCAAGTTAGTCCAGTCGCCAAAGAGAAGTTCGCATTCTCGGAATCGGACAAGGACAAGAACCTTGTGATGGATGGAATTCCATTCACCGGTGGAAACTTCTTCACTGGCCGCAGTTCAATGCCAATCGTGGCGGATGCAATGCCCGAGCACTACGTGCCAGGTATTAGCAGCCCAGCACTTGCGCGTTCCACGCCTAGTGCAGCCACTTTGTTCGGCATACCAAGCGGATTTCATGGGAAAAGTGATGCGGCAGCCGTGCGTGATCGACAGCTACGCGAACTCTTGGAGGATCGCGGGATGTTGGGATCGAAGTCCACAGCATCTGCCAGCTCCTCAAGACCTGTTGGTGTCGACGGTATCACCGCATCTACGAAGGGCAACGACCTCATCGGTCCCCCTATTGCCTATGACGATTCCATTCATGAAGCAAGGAGACGTCAGATCGAGAAAGAGGTCGCGGAACGGTACGAGGAGAAGATTGCCGATCTGCGAAGCGAAGTACTCAAGGCCCAGAAAGCCGAACAACGTCTCAGAGCTGATCGTGATGAGTGGAGATTATTCGCTGAAACGATTCAGGAGGATAATGGAGACGATGACGGTGACGAGGCTGGCGACGAGAACGAAGATGGAGAGCACGATGAAGGAACCGGCACGGGGTATGCCCCTCCTGACCCGCCTGATGATGATGATGATAAGAAGAAAAGCGGTGGAGGCAAACCTGAATCGGATCCTGGATCTCATGCGCGTGATCCTGATGGAGATGCAGATCCTGAAGTCACGGAAGTGAGAATTTCCAGGAGGGAGGCCGACAAAGTGACCGTACCTCCATGGCCCACTCTTACTCACCTCAACAACTGGCGATCCGTATGCACGGCGAATGTCTTAGGAGCATCAGCCGATCCAAATCATGAGGACTGGATGTTATGGCTGGCACCAGCATTCAACCCATTCCCTGATGTCGAAGCACTGAACGATTCAGGACACAAGAAGTTTAAGAGCGTAGACGTAAAATTGGGGATCGCAATGGTCGCAATGCTACGTGCTGGTGGTGACAAATCTGCTGACCTGTACTTGGAGGTGAACCGGAAGGCCAACGATTACATCAGCAGGCCCGAAGGGAAGATCATCAAAGGACGACAAATCATTGCGATGATGTATGAAAGTTTTCGAACGCATGATCGTCTCGACATGATCATCACTCTCGAGTATCTGGTGAAGCTCCAGTACCAAGGCGACAACAAGCTTCATACGTTCAAGCAGACGTGGTTGGAAGTTCTGGGACGGATGAGGCCAGAAGACATACCATCCAAAACAGCTCTCCGTGATTGCTTGTACAGCAAGATCAAGGACTCGCCCGCAATGAAGATGGAGTTGGGCATGCACTACGAACACTTGCCCTACAATCATGAAGACCGATCGTACGACAATTTGATGAAGATCATTGACCGTACCATCATGCGGAGACGAGAACAATCAAATCTCACTCAGACCCAAATTGGCTTGCGCCAGATGCTTGAGGGCAAGGATTTGCTTGCTGCACCGGGCAAGGTACCTGAGAAACCAACGCCTAACGCAGCTCCATCCGCAAAGGTCAAGGCTTCGCCGACCAAGCCGGATAAAGCAACACCTGTACTACCTCAAAGCAAAGCGAAGAGTCATGCGAAAACCAAGCCAAAACCCAAGAAGAAGACGAGGAGTGAGTCAGCGGACAACAGAGGTGACAAGAGCAAGAAGCAAATCCGCTGCAAGTTCCATTTCACAGATGCAGGGTGTCGAAATGGTGACAAGTGCCCATTCAGTCACTCGAAGAAGACTCCAGAGCGACCCTTTACGCCGAGGACGAGAACTCCAAGTCCATCTGGAGGAGGAGGAAACAGGATATGCTACTCGTTCAAGAACACAGGCTCGTGCTCAAGAGAGAATTGTCCTTTCAAGCATGAGGCAGCAGCTACCCCAGCTCCGGAACCAAAGGCAAAGGCTAAAGCCAAATCCGAAGCGAAGGCAGCTCCAGCGAAGCCGAATGCCAAGGCCAAGGCGCTCCCTGCGGCACCCGCCATCAGATTGTGCCGAAGGTGGAATCCATCAGCTCCGGCGATATGGAAGCGATCTTCAAGACAAGATGAGGAGGAGTCAGATTGCCCATCCGTTGACAGCGACGCTGATTCGGATTGTTCAACAGACGACGAATCCTCGGGACCGACTACGTCGACCCGAAAAGGGATCAAGCGTAATGTGACATTCGCCGATGACGTGAAGTTCATTTCTTCGTGTCCTACTTTAATGGACCGGGTTTTAGCTAGTGACTTATATGGGTTACGGAGGTTAGTAAAGGGTTGCCAAGTGGTTATCATAAATGGTTACATAAGTGGTTATGCAAGGGTTTATGTAAAGGGTTATGTAAAGGGTTACGATGGTTATATATGGCTTTAAAGCCAGGAATATTTTATATGTACAGTATAGAATTTCTGATGTGCGCATAATGATATTCCTGAGATTCACGTCGGATGCAAAGTGATTTCTGTTGGCAATCGGATGTTTTCAGCTTCGCGGCAGCAGTGCAGTCACAATCGCATTTCTGCGAGCGTAGGTGAGACAACAGCGGATTTCGCTCAACGGCTGCAGCAAACCTTGGCCCAGGGGTGTCCAATGTGCACTCTCAAGCTGTGCTTGGTGCTCCTTCAGCTCGTACAGCTCCAACAGGCAGAAAGCTTGCCCCCCAAGTCTGCAAAACGCATGCACCTGGCCAGCAGCACCAGTTGTGCTCAACACCACATCCCTCAAGCAAGCCACCTGCCCACTAGCAAGGCGCGCGCGACCGCTGCAGGTAGCACCCTCGCACGCAAGCCCTTCAGCAGCCAGGTGCTCCAGAAGCTTCTTGGAGCAGTCATGCTCTTCCAAGAGATCGCAGTGCTGCGCGAACAAGCCTGGCGCCCGCAAGACCGCAAGGTCGTGCGCCAAGGTCTCTTCCAGCAAGGACTGCTCGTATTTCTGCGTGTTCCGCACTGTGGAGGCATAGCGACTGACCATGCGGTGCTTGCGCTCCAGCGTCCAACAGGCCGGCAATTGCCCGAAGCGCTCCAGGGTGTCCGGCATGTGCAGCAACCAATGAAACTTCTTGATCATGTTGTGCTCCCAACCGGCTTGCACACAGCCCACGAGCGCTTGCTCCACAGCATGCAGCAGTTGCACTCGCGAGATGGGCTGCGTCCTCTGCGCACCATGCAGCATGTCCACGACCTCGGCCATGAGCAAAAAAGCCTCGCAAGCCGGCATGCACTGCCCACGCTGCATGGGACCGGTTCGCAGCCATCTGCGCACGATGGGATATAGCGCCAAGGCTTCGCTCGCCGTGCACTTGAACTTCTTGGCTGCAATGGAGCCCTCCATTTTCTTTTTTTGAAACAGTTCGCTCAAGTGCGGCATGGAGGTCGCCCGCGGCAATGTCCACTGCCCCACATAGTCGGACCTGCAGAAGATGCAAAAATGAAAACCAAAAAAAATTGTAGGTAGATTGCATGTCGTTCAAACATATATAGAAAGCATGCATGTATGCAGCCGGAAGAGCAGCATCTGCCACGCCGGCACCTTCGCCTGCTGCATGGTCTGCAGCACCAAAAAAAGCACAAGCGTCAGCGTCCCGTTTGCGCACGTGGCGTGCATCCAGTCATGGCAGTACTGCGACACCGGACGCAAGACGCTGCGCAGTTTCGGCGCCAGAAGCAAGCCATGCGGCTCCAGATTGAAGCCAGTGGCCTGCTGCCAGCGCGCCATGTCCTGTTTGGAACAGCCTTCGTCGGCTCGCTTCTTCAAGCGGTCCACGCTCTCGAAGACCTCCGCGTCGGAGCACAGCGCCAGGTCGCTCCTGCGCAGCAAGTCGCACACGCCCGAGAAGACTTCGTCATCCTCTTCTCCATGGATGTCTCTGCTGCTGTTGAAAGCACACGCATTCTTGCACAGCATGCAAAACCTGCTCCCAGCATCGCCTTTAATCCCAAAAACAAATTTCTGGGCGGCGCCATCCTGCAAGAACATGCCCATGCGGAAAAACAGCCGCAAAGGCTCGCCCTCCGGGTCCTTCACCACGAGACCGGTCTGTGGCGAGATTTTTTCGCAAAAGATGCGCTCCAGCATGACTCGCACCACCTGCCCGATGCCGGCACTCAGCCCCTGCACAAAGTCGCTGCGGAAAACGCCCGCTACCAGCCACGCGGGCTCCTGGGTCAAATGCACACCGAACTCCACGAAACTGCAGTAAGCGACCCAGATTTTGCGACTCTGGCGATTAGCCAGCACGTTGCCAGGGCTCACCTCGTCCGTGTACAACACGAACTGCCATGGGCGCTCCATGGAGCAAGGCACTCGGGCATACGTCGTTTTGACAAGCTGTGTGAAGCTCCCACCCTGCCCGAAGGCAGCAGCGACCAAGGAGGCCACGTTGACCATCAGCGCTCCCGGCTGCTGGAGCCCTTTCTTGCTGACAAAGCAGCACCTGTCCAGCAAGGGCCCATATAGGCTGCTCTGCTCCAACACCTGCCGCGTTGCTTCCCGCATATGATGCGCTTGCCGCAACTCGGGCACGCCCTCCTCCGCCACTTCCGCCAAGATGGCGCTCAAAGCAGATTTGCTCACGTGTGGAACCTTCCGCCGCAGGTTGTCAAGCTTCTGCAGCTTGGCTGGGCGCTCCATGCCGCTGCAGGAGCGCCCCTCCCGGCAGCTACCTCGAGCTCTATAAAGCAGTGCAAAACCTACGGCATGGATGTTTTCCGAAGAGCTTCTTATAAGCATGTGTTCTGCAGCTTAATATATCATGTGCATGCATGCTCTTACACTGCCCAGCTATGTATGTGAAAATCCTAAACCCATATATTATATGTATAAACTTATATGCATGCATCAATTTAAAATATTTCTGGCTGCTTATAGCGTTTGCCCCATATATATACACGTGTTGCTTCCCATGTGCACGGAAGCTTCCTTGAGATCGCAGGCACATGCATGCATGGCGCTTGTCAGGATTCTGCAAGCAAGTGCTTTGTTTAAGGCAGGTGCATGTCGTGCGAGATGGCTGCATGCAGATAAAGCCTTTTTTGCCCCCTGCAGGCATGGCAGTCCATGCTGAGTCCCCTCCCCTAAAGCGGCTGCACGGAGCCCTCCCTTTGGCGCGAAGCAGAGCACGGCGAAGCTTCGCCCTCAGCTGCCGTACCATGCCCTCCACTCTTCCCGCGTCAAGCGCTCGCCGTTGAAGTTGGGGTTCAAGCATTGTGCGCACTGCGACTTGCTCCCTCTGCACTTTTTGCACCCCTTCTTCACCGCCGCACTGGGGGCACCCTTCGCCTTGGCCTTCGCCTTCGCTGCTGCAGGCGCCTTGGCTTTGGCCTTGGCTTTGGCCTTGGCTTTGGCCTTGGCTTTGGCCTTGGCTTTGGCCTTGGCCTTGGCCTTTGCTTTCGCCTTTGTCTGGTCTGCACCTCGTGCACCCAACTGCTCGAAAGCCTTTTGCTCGTACTCCTCCAGGCTGAGGTCTTTGTCAGCAGGCTGTGGCTCCCCAGCTGCGGCCGCAGGCTGCTGCGCCTCGCTTGGTTGCTGTCGTTCCTGCACTTGCTGCACACCCAAGGGCGGCACGGCGCTGGGCGGCAGCGAAGCAGCTGCAGCAGGTGCACCTGCGGGGGGCGCTGCGGCGGGCGCACCGGCCGGCGTCGCCGGCGCAGGCAGCGCGAGCTGGCCTGCAGCTGGTGCACTCGAACCAGCTCCCTGCGGAGCTCCCGGCAAGGCCAGCTGCAGTGCAGCTCCAGGTGCTGCAGCTTCTGCACCTGGCAAAGCCCCCTGCGGCTTCTGGAAAATCTGCAGACCGGGCGTCTGCACTCCCGGCTGCCCCTGCATAAGGAAGCCCGCGAAGGTCTGCAAACTCTGCATGAACTGCAGCTGGGCTTGCGGGTCGACCGCATTCCGAAGCGGCGTCGCCACAGGGGCGCGCTGCGTCTTGTCTTTGCGCACGCGGCACAAAGACACAGCTTCCGCCAGGAAGGCGAGCTCCTTAGCCACGGGGGTCTCGCTGCCAAAGAGCGCGGTGTGCATTTCCGCACTCAAGTGAGCCGGGTCGCTCGGGTACAAGCGCAAAGCCGCCACCCCGGGCGCCGCCGCCGTCTTGTCAGCCGCAAAAGACTGCGTCAAGGACTGCGCCAGCTGCAAGAGCTCTCCCTGCGTCGGCGGAGCACTCCCGTTCGCCACACGCCACGCCGCCAGCACGCAGGTTGCGTGCTTCTTCGTGTCCTCCTTTAAGGACTGCACCCCGAGCTTCCGCAAAAGTTGCGCCAAGGCGTGCACGCCCACAGACCCGGGCTGCAGCAAGCGCACCCAGTCGCGCTCCGTGCAGTAGTTACTTGGCGTTCTTCTGGTCGGCTCTTTAGACTTTAACTTTTTGTGCCGGGTTGTTGCCTTTACTAGATTAAGGGTTGATTCCTCCCAACTCCCAACCCTCACCTTAATGCATCCATCAGCAACAACAGCAGCAGCAGCAGCAGCAGCAGCTCCTGACCACCATCGACATCGACGCGAGGCGGGCTCGGGGGCGCTGACTTACCATTGTTTCCATTACGGTTTAGGGTTTGGGTTCAGGATTTGCCCGCAGAGTGCAGCAATGCCAAGCCTAGGGTGTTTCAGAACATGAGCCTAAACCTCATCGCCCTGATGTATTGGTACAGATAGCATAGAGCATTCCCAAAGCTCCTCAATGCTTCCTGGGGTTAGGGTTCGGGCTGGGGGATTTTGGGCTTATTGACTTGGTGGCTCTAAAGCCAACTTGTCAGCATTTTTGTGAGAATGGGTTACATGGGAACATTCTTTAATTAACAGGAGTGGTGAGCTTAAACGTGGAGAATGAAGGGTGTAGTTGTCGAGTTTAAAATTGCCGTTGAAGTATTCGGGTTCAGGTTTTTCTTGTCTAGGCATCAGGGCTTAGGCTCGTGGTTCCAAAACAACTTTAAGCTCGGTAAGTCTTCCACGCGCTTACGCATTAGGGATTGGAATTGAAACCCTAAACCCTTCAAACCCCCAAGCCCGAACCCTTCAATTATTTTGATACAATATCTTAAGCCCGGTAAACCCCAAACCCATCTACGCCTACGAAACCCTAATGCTTGAATAATACAAACCCTACGCCTGAATACTTCAACGACAACTAAACCCTCCTTCTATCTAATCCTTTCCCCGAAGGGTTAGAGGTTGTCGTAGGGTTTAGGGTTGTTGGGTTTAGGTATAGTGATGCAGGAACTCCGACGAACTTCGACATCAACGATTGCCTGGGCCTGAGTCCGAGAGTAGTGCAAGGGTTTTCTGGGATTGGCAGCAGTTGGGACTCTGGGTCAGGGCCTTTTGGCCTTGGCTCGGAGGCCCACTGCTGTCCGGGGGTTGGTAGCTGGGACTCCGGGCCAGGCTTAGGCCTGGCTTGGTTGGCTCAGCTACCCTAAGCCTAAGCGGTTATAGAGTTCTTGCACTGTTGCATGTCATGTGCTTGCCGGACTTGGGGCCAGTGGGTCTGCGGACTCCACTGGCTTCGAGGCTGGCAAGCCCCATGCGCTTTGCCAGACTTGGGGCCAGTGGGTCTGCGGACTCCACTGGCTTCGAGACTGGCGAGGCTGGTTTGCTGGACTTGGGGCCAGTGAGTCTGCGGACTCCACTGGCTTCGAGGCTGGCAAGCCCCATGCGCTTTGCCAGACTTGGGGCCAGTGGGTCTGCGGACTCCACTGGCTTCGAGACTGGCGAGGCTGGTTTGCTGGACTTGGGGCCAGTGAGTCTGCGGACTCCACTGGCTTCGAGGCTGGCAAGCCCCATGCGCTTTGCCAGACTTGGGGCCAGTGGGTCTGCGGACTCCACTGGCTTCGAGACTGGCGAGGCTGGTTTGCTGGACTTGGGGCCAGTGAGTCTGCGGACTCCACTGGCTTCGAGGCTGGCAAGCCCCATGCGCTTTGCCAGACTTGGGGCCAGTGGGTCTGCGGACCCTGGCCCGAGGCTGGCGAAGCTTGTCTTGTGACTTGTCATGCATGGCATGCCACGACACATCACGCCATTCACTGGGGTTTGGGTTCAGGGCCAGGGATGGGGGATGTCCGGGTCTCAGAGAGGGGGGAGGGAGGGTTTCTACTGCTATTATTATTAACTACCCACGTCACTGTTCTGAGTACTGATTGCTTCTTGATGCCGATGTTTCCAGTATTTCTCCTCCTACTCATACTCCACCTTGTACTCCTACTCCTACTGCTGCCGCTATTGCTGCTAATACTGCGACTACTGCTTCCGCGACTGCTCTTGCTACTGCTACTGCTTAGACTGCTGCTGACGCAGCCGCCACTGAGCTACGACCACTATCAATTAATAACTACTGTTACTGACAGTTACTGCTAGGTCGACTCATATTGTTACTGCTGCTGCTACTATTACTACTACTACTACTACTACTACTACTACTACTACTACTACTACTACTACTACTACTACTACTACTACTACTACTGCTCCTGCTACTGCTGCTGCTGCTAGTACTACTGCTACTACTACTACTACTACCACTACTACTGCTACTGCTCCTGCTACTGCTGCTGCTGCTGGTACTACTACTACTACTACTACTACTACTACTACTACTACTACTACTACTACTACTACTAGTATTACTACTACTACAACTGCTACCACTGCTACTGCTGCTGCTGCTGCTACTACTACGACTACTACTACTACTACTACTACTACTACTACTACTACTAGTTACTACTACTACTACTACTACTACTACTACTACTACTACTACTACTACTACTACTACTGCTACCACAACGACTGCTGCACTCCAGGTCGAAAGCTGGCCGGGGCAAGCACGCCAGCACCGCGCAGGACCACGGGAGGGGTCGTGATCGTTGCTGTCATGTCGTGCCAAATGCTTGCCAATTGACCGCAATCTCACAGCTCACCGCGTCCACATCCATGGTCATGGCATTGTGGGCTTAGGATTCAGATGCTTCAACTTCTAAGACTCAATGTCGGAGCCATCTTAATAGCTTTCAGAAAGGGGCTCCCCTAAGGCTTTAATGTCAACTTTGAAGCAGCCTAATGCTGCAACTTCCCTCAATCTTCCCTCTTGAGGGCTTCGAAGCTTGAAGTTTAAGGCTGCATCCTTTTTTCCATCGGCGCTGCCATGGACGACGATTCGCCGACGCCGGTGCCAACGGAGGTGCCCGTCGAGGCGACAGCGCCGACGTCGCCGGTGCACGATGTGACCCAGCTGCATTGTCAAGCCAAGCTGCAGTTGCTGCTGTCGTGCGCTCATCCACACATGTAACTGAGGAGTCGACTGCGATGGACGAGACGCCGGCCGATAGCATGCTTCCCCCGACTCCTCCGACGACAGTTACTCTGCAGCAATCATTGGAGCCTTGGGACGGATTTACATGTCGGGGTCCATACACACCAGCCCTTACAGCCACTGAGGTCGCTAGCCCTGGGGATGTCTCGACCGACTCCGCGGAGGAGTTGGAGCAGCCCAAGAAGAAGCGGAACAGGGGTAAGAACCCTTCTCAGAAGATCAGAAAGAGGCTGCAGAGACGCCTCTCGGCTCAATCATTCGTGTTTCTCTTGCTTCGGGGTGTAATTTGGCAGCTTTCCTGCTCCCATTGAGCCGAGGAAGGGCGCGTGAG